GCCGGCACGTGAGGCGGGGAACGTTGGAGTCCGCAGTCACTGAAGCAAGCAAGCGCTCATGTTCACTTCAGTGCATGGCTGCTGGCCGCCATCTTGGCTGACAGTTAATGTGCATATACTCACTGATTAGCCAATGAAAAGGGTAGCGATCGTACACTAATTACCATGTTTCTCTTTTATTAGTGTAGATATCATGAGAATATTTGTGTTCAGTTCTTTATATTCATATATGTTTTACTTAAACTGTTGCAGTGTAGGTGAATGTTTTACACTTTAAGATATGCAGAACTGTGGTCTAAAATGGTCATTCCTTTTGACTTCCCACCCACAGCAATGAAAATTCCAGTTTTCTGCAACCCTGCCAGCACATGCAATGGTTAATATTTTTAAATAGTATCCCTGGAAATGAGTCTAGTGTTAGCTGGACTTCATTTAGTTGCATTTCCCTAAGAATTTTTGATGGTGAACATTTTTCTTTTTTGTTAATCCTCACCAGAGGATATTTTTTCCATTGATATTTAGGGCCCATACTGGTCAACCAGTAGCCAAAGTGAAAGGGAGGAAGAGAGGCAGAGAGAGAGAATTATCACTGTGAGAAAGACACATCGTTTGGTTGCCCCCTGCAGGCACCCTAATCAGGGCAGATATGGTGCCTATAACCGAGGTTCATGCTCTGGACTGGAATTGAACCCAGGACCCTTCAGTTGGAGCTGATGCTCCAACCACTGACCTAAACCATCTAGGGTGTGGTGAATGTTTATTATTCCTTTATTTACAATGTCTTTAATTTACTTGTTAAAATGTCTGCTCAGAATCTCTTGCCCATTTTTTAAATGAATTTATTATTTTAACCAATAGGAGTATAGTGCAGCATCTAAGATATATGTTTGAAATTCACTCACTCCTCAATGACTCAAGTGGTTTCTTCGCTAGAATTATAGGTTTTGAATACTAGAAGGAAAATTGTTTCTCTCCATTTTTATCTTATGTACAATTTAAAGTTTACTTGTACCATACACTGATAAGTTTTATAAGCATTGCTAATATTCTCCACCACTTTTTTAAGTCTCAGCATTCAATAATACATTAAGTGAAATCTTGTTTGTAGTATTTATCAATATCCCCGGTGTAAATACTCTCTACATCATCAGTTTCAAACTGTCAAAATGATGGCCCTGAACATGGACATGATATTTCAGTAGCAAGTCATTATATTTTGTTTTTACCAGAGTGAGACAGTAGCAACAAATTATGCTCAAAAAATTCACAATAAAACAGTGAAATAATTGGGAAGTGGCAAGTTTTAAACATTTTTAAAAGTTTGATTCAAGAATAATTGATTTGAAATGTACAGTTTTCTCACTTCAGGTTATTTTTAATTGATATTTAGAGAGATTGGAAGTGAGGAAGAGAGACACAGAGAGAGGAACAGATGTGAGAGAGACGCATCGATTGGTTGCATCTTGCAAACACCCTCACTGAGTCCAGGAATCAAACCTGCAACCAAGTGTGTGCCCTTGAATCAAAACCCTGTCCCTTTAGTACCCAGGCTGACACTATCCACTGAGCCAAACCGTGTAGGGCTAAAATGTACCTTTTTAAAAATGTATACTTTTGATGTTTCCATGCTTGCCTTCATCCCTGAAACCAATGGTCTCCTGCCTTTTTCGGTGCTTCTTTCTGGCATATAAAATAACTGATACAAGGACACATTCTGCCTTTGTAATGGTTTATTTAAATATATTTCCATGTAAAGCAAACACTTACGAAAACCCATGGATCCTCTTCTAGACCTCCATCATAATCTGTCATCATGGTGGTTCTCATATCTATCTAATCTCAGACATCATAGTGGGTTATTTTACTTAAAATCCCAGATATGTCTGGCACTGTCCAGGTAGCTCAGTTGGTTAGAGCACCATCTTGATAACGACAAGGTTGCAGGTTCCATCCCAAGTCAAAGCAATTACAAGAATCAACCAAGTAGTGTATAAAATTAGTGAACAACAAATATCTCTCTCTCTCTCTCTCTCTCTCTCTCTCTCTCTCTCTCTCCCCCCCCCCCCCGGTTTTCTCTCTCAAATCAATATGTTTGTTGGGGTTTACTTTCACCCAATCAGTCCACACATGTGAACACCAGAACAGTCCAGGGACCCCCATGGTGAACCAGTAGCCAGGGTTCTCATGAGGGCAGAGCACACAATGATGCGAGAACAGGACAGGAGGTGCTGCGGCTGTCAGTGTGGAGGGTAGGGAATGGGGGCTGAGCTGCACAATCACCCACAGAGGATGATGACATCTGTGCCCCCTGGGACTAAATCCAATGGGGCCTGGAGAAGCTCGGGCCTGGACATGCCCCCTGCGGTCTCTGCACCTTCCATCCAGGGGCTGAGACTGAGCTGTTACAGATTCAGGTAGTTGAGGAGCCCAGATTCCTCTTTGGAGACAAGGATGGGTGCCACAGTGGCAGCTGGGCATGTGTATGGGCAGGAGAAAAAGCAGGGCCGTTGCCAGGAAGAGTTGGTGGGGGGAGGGGGAGCATGTGTGTGTTGCTGGGGCCCTCTTTAGTCAAGGTTCAGCGTGGTGGCCACTCTGTTCTTTGGGGCCATGCTTGATGGGAAATGGAGCAAGAGCTGCTGCAGGAGTTCCCAGGTGTCATGACCTGGGAGCCAGCATGTGCTCCAAGAAACCCGGTGACCCAGGCAGGTGCGCCCCAATCCACTGTAATAAAGTGGTCCGGCCATTGATCTGCCGGGGTAGGGGAAGAACTCTCTCTGCAGAGGCCGATTCTCTTTCTGCCCATCAGGTGGGGTTGCTGGCTGCTGAGCCAGGACGTCCTCTCCTGGGTGGCAAGGGTCTTGAATTTTAGCCATTGAAGGAGGTTGCATATATTTATAAATCTTATCAGAGAAAATTCCCTGATCCACCCTGTTGCTCTGAGACGGGGCTCCTGCCTGCATGCCCACCTCCACATTCTTTCCTGCCTTTGCCTGGGATGTCCCCACTGATGTTGGGGCGTGGCCTGTCCTTGTCAGGGGTTGGCAGAGAGGAGCCTGAAGCAAGGCTCTGGGAATGGTTTGGGTCCTGTGCTTGCCTGAGAGGAGCTGGCCAGGGCTCTTCTGTCTCCAGCCAGAGGTCTCTCCAGGTCCCTATGCCCCAGGCACCTGTCCCACTTCAGCCCCTGATGCTTTCAGTTCAGAAATAAGTTCACTTTTAGAAAGTCATGTGTCTGGCCAGCACACACACACCCTGAGGGCCACTGCCATAGTGTGAGTCTCTGTTTTAGCATTTCTTGGTGTGATTTTCCACTTTGCTTTATTTAAAAATAAAGGCCCCTTTTCCTAGCCAGTCATGGAGGTACCATGGATTCTCCAAAAAATGGTGCTGTGTTTTTTCAATGGTGAGAACATTCTGCAACATAAGGCTTTCCAGAAGGCCAGGTTTGGTCTCAAGATGATACCACATTGAGGGGATGCATTGTGGCTGATGTCCTCCTTCTCTATGTTTGGCCTTGGCAGAGCAGACCCCTGGTCCTTCCCTATATAGTGAGGAGAAGGACCCAGGACTCTGGGGGACAGTCTGCTAATGGGGTGTGTGTTTGAGGGAGCAGAGAGGTTTGGGGCCTTGGACAGTGTCGGAGAGGGGGTTTCCTGACAGCACATGGGACAGGGTCCCAGAGTGGGTGTATGTAGGGAAGCATGTAGGGACAAAAACTTGAATCAGGCTGGATGGAAGGCAGCAGTTAAGGGTGGGCACCACCTGTAAGGAGCAAAGGGGTGGGCACTGTTGCCCCTGACTGTTCCCGACTCCCCATCCCCTATTCTAAGCTGCAGGAGGCAGCAGAGTCTAACATTTGAAGCAAGAAATCTGTTATTAGAGACACATGGGTTTGCCTTCCAGCCCCATCTTTTATTAACTCTACAATCAGGCAATACCTTGTATTCTCTCACAGCCTGCTTTTTCTCTTAACAATGTGATGTTTTATGTTAAAAATAAAAAAATTGGATAGCTGGAGTGGCTCAGTTCAATTACAAGTCAGATTCCCTGGCTCAATGCCCAGTGGGTGGGTGGGTGGTGTGCAGGAGGCAGCTGATCCATATTTCTCTCCCTCTCATTTTCTCTGTCTCAAAAAGTCAAATAAAAGAAAATATATATATAATCCATTTAAATTTGTAGTCTTCAGGAATAATTGAAATAATACTTTTCACCTCAGCGAGGACTCTGAGCTCCACAGAATCTGAAATAATATCTCAAAACAAGAGATCAGTTGCAGACAACACTTCCCAGAAACCTGTGACCAGCCCCCAAAACCTAAAGTTGTCATTTCCCAACACCCCTCAGGCACACCAGCACCAATATTTGCAGTGATCAGTGAGCCACTTGTGGGGTCCGGAAAACTACATTACCCAAAGGGCAATGCGCCTAGTGATGGCCGGTTTTAGCCAATGAAAGCCCAGGACCAGCGCATTATTGGTTTGGGAGTGACTTCCTGTGTCTTTCTCCTGGTGGTCATTTTGAACTCTTTGTTCTGTTAAGGTAGTTAGAGGCTCTGGTGCTCAGCGTCCCTATTAGGACGAGGCACCAGAAGCCGTGTCCCCGCTGTGCAGGGGTGTGTCTGAGGCTTGATGAGCTGCAACAGGCGGGATTGAGGTCTCCGTGCCTCCCAGATTCCGTTTTGCTTACAGACTTCAACTCAGCCTTCATCCTTGGGTCCAGGCGTCTGTCAGGTCCTGCAGCCCAGGTTGCAGCGTCCAGAACCGTGAGTCTCTTGTGGGTGACGTGCAGTGTGACGGGGTGAAAGAGGGTGACAGGCTGCAATGCCACTGTGTAAGGTTTGGGTTGGTGTGGCTGAGCTGGGAGGATTCGGGAATCCTGGGCCTGTGTTGTGTCTAAACTAAAGGCAACAGAGAAGATGAGGCGAAGGTTTGCCAGAGACGTTTTCGTTTCATTCTCAGGAAGCTGGGGCCATCCATGGCTGTGAACAAAAGAGGGACATTGTCTTAGGTAGGGTTCCAAACGTTTCCCAAAACTGCTCAGAGGAAGAACACACTAGAAGAGAGAGGATACCTGTTGGGGACAGGAAGGAGAAGTCCTTTTAAAGATAACAAACTTGGCAAGCCTGTGCACTGAGGCCTGAGGTGATACAGTCATCTCTAGGTCACCTGACCCCAAGGCTGGGAAAGGGTACTGGGTGGCCAAGCCCATGGATCCTGGTGGTGTTTGCCAGGCTCTCAATAGTCCTTTATCTTTCTACAGATTCCTGCAAATGCACAATCAATTACAGGTACAGGTTTGTGGATGGAAGAAGCAGTCGGATTATGGATTAGTGTTTTAGGTCTGGCCACCTGGATTTTTAATTTTGAGGTTGAGAGAGAGAGAGGTAAGAGTCAGCGATGATGGGAGGTTTGGGATTTAGCAGCTTGAGAAATGGAAGTATCATCAATTGAGATGGATAAAATTTATAGGTAGATTAATGTTCTTTGGGGATATAATAACTTTGGTTTTGGGCTTTGTTTGGTTTTTTTTTTTTTTTTTTTTTTGGCCTGTTAGGGTATAACATACTACAAAGGGTAGTTCACGAGAGTCTGGAACTCTGAGAAGCAATTCAGAATGAAAATTTCTTAAAAAGGTAGTGGACCCTTTTAGAGTGGAGGTATAGATCACCTTTTTCTAAAAACTATGTTCTTACTGAATTGAGAGATAGAGAGGAAGGCAGAGGGAGAGAGAAAGAGAAACATCAATGAGCAAGATCCAAGGATTGCTTGCCTCCTTAAGGCCCCTTACTGGAAATTAAGTAGGAAACCTGGGCAAGTGACCAGACCAGGGCTCAATTCAACTAGTGACCTCTCAGTGAATGGGTTGATGCTCAACCAACTGAGCAACACCAATCTGGGCTTTAGATCACTTTAAAATGGGGAATCATGCCCTAGCTGGTTTGCTCAGTGGATAGAAATGGCCTGTGGACTGAAGGGTCCCGGATATGATTCCAATCAAGGGCACATGCCTGGGATTCAGGCTCAATTCCCCAGTAGGGGTGCAGAAGGCATCCAATCAATGATCTTCTCTTATTGATGTTTCTCTCTCTCCCTCTCCCTTCCTCTCTTAAATCAATGAAAATATATTTTTAAAAATAAATAAATGGGGAATCATTCAGAATGATAATGGTAACTCAGGAAGGAGAGTGTCACCCTGAGGACTGGGTTTTCTGCTGGGTTTCCTGTTTGTGCAAGTTAGGCGTCACAGCATATTATAGGGACAGAAGTGGTCAACTACATGGTGGAGGAGATATTCTCATTTGGCAGTGGCTAAAACCCACGAAAGGTGAGTCATTGCCAGATGAATTGGAGGCTGAAAAGTAATTCAGAGATGAGCCTGGGGCTGATGCATATTTACTTCTTAAACACTCACCAGGATTTTGTTATGACCCTTTGAATGGCCTGAGGTGTTGCGGTCAGTCTGATGGATTAGCTTAGGAACACTAGTGGTCAACTATGAGACTCACTGGGCCCGGAGTCATTGGGCTGGGATTTGAGTGACAGTTAAGTGGGGAGATAAATGCTGTCACTAGTGAAGGGACATCAAGTGCAGCACCAGTGGAGGTGAGTTCTGGATATCTGAGATCTGAGGTAGTTCTTAATAGGTGAGGTTGAAGGAAAAAATAATCAAGGACAGAGGCCTTTTTAACAGTACTCAAGGATGCTTCCATAAGTGTAGACTATCAGAGTCGGAGTAGTACTTCATCCTGTTAGAACAGGTTTAGAATTCACCGGATGCCCATGCTGAGTAATGAGTAAGAGAACAAGGAGATGACTATGGGGGCTGTGGCTGTGGGAATGCAGGTATGAGAGAGGTGTGGTAGAAAGAGTGATGTGAATTTGCAGATGGAAGGTGAATTCATGGACACAGGGATCTGACATTGACATAAGAGAATGAAGTGTGTCCATTTTTGGTGATGTCTGGATGACATGACATGGGGAATTTTAGGGTCATTTCTGTAAAGAGGGGATGTTGTTGTGCTACATGCCAGATTCATAGCTTAGATGCCAAATATGTGCCCACCTGCCTTTTGTCAGCCTGAGGGCTGACACAGTGATCAACAGGAATGAGAGAGCATACATCAGTGTCACCTGGCTTGAAAATCTCCACTGGCATGGAGAAGGGAAAAGGGGAAGACAGTAATATATTACAGAAGTGGTGAGTTAGAATTCTGGAAAAGAAGCTGATTAGAAAACAACCTGTCCTGAAATGGGTTCGCCCTGAGAGAGAGGCCCGTGCCTTGGAAAGCATCGTGGTAAAAAAGGAAGGAAGGAAGGAAGGAAGGAAGGAAGGAAGGGAGGGAGGGAGGGAGGGAGGGAGGGAGGGAGGGGGGGGAGGGGAGGGGAGGGGAGGGGAGGGGAGGGGAGGGGAGGGAAGGAGGGAGGGAGGAAAGAAGGAAGAAAGGGAGGCAACCTGTCCTCCTCGTGACACATTTGTAATACTTTTGAATTTGTCCCTCTGAGAATGAAGCTGTGGGATAGAAGTGGGTTTCAAATAATTATATGCAGCAGGTACTACAAAGTGAGGGCCTTAGCACCCTGGGATTAGGGTAGGAAGGTTGAAATGTGATGCCATGTTTTTTGGTGACTTGGAGAGAAAACCTGGGGGACTACAAAAGTATTGCCAGCCAAAACCAGTGTCAAATCACTCACATTATCTTTATGGCCAACATCTTTCCCAGCCTATGTTTGTGAAACCCACTGTATTGACAAGAGGCAGTGTGGCCTACATGTCAGGCTTAGAGCTCAGGTATCATCAATGTGTTCATCTTCCCTTATTGTTGGTGGAAGGCACAGTATCAATAGGTATATAAGGAGAGAGTGATTTTGATGGGACCTAGGCCTGGCATGTTCTCTGATGGGGGAGTAGAGGGAGCAGATGGATGAGGAGTATGACCAATGTAAAATCCTAGGAGAGAAGCTGACTATGGACTGAACTGTCCCTATTCTGACAGGATATGAACTTTGAAGACTTGGCCATTGCCTTCTCTCAGGAGGAGTGGAATCTTCTTGATGAGGATCAGAGACTTCTGTACTGCGAAGAGATGCTGGAAGTTTTTGCACTTGTATCATCTGTAGGTAAGACCTTCACACCTCTGCTAGTGTCCTAAAGTGATGTCCTCTCTTCCTTAATTCTCCTTGTAGCTTTCTCTCTCCCACAGCCAGACCATGGGTTCTGCTAATTTCCCCCACTGTCTTGTCAAATGTGCTCTGGCTGCCAGTACTGAGCTGTGTGGAGAGCCCTGAGCAATGGATTCTATGAACATTCCTAACACAAATTGCTTCAGAAAGTGCAGGAAGTGTCTGGGAGTCAGGGGTCTTATAGGGAGCCTAATGGTTCCCACCTGCTTTTCTTCTCCCCGAGAAGGTGACCATATCCAGGCCCATGGCTTCCATTTCTACCCCTTCCTCTAGCTAAAGTTTCTTTGTGACTATTTGTGCCTGGTTATGTTCTTCACTTACATGAACCATGGCTGTTCCTGTAAGACCTTCCTTCAATTGTTGTTTGTAATCTTCCCTTCCCTGAATACTGTTGGTTAACCAAATAGTTCTGGGCCAGTGCAGGCTGCTCACCTCTGTTGTCTTTCATTAATACTCAGAATATTTACTTTTTATGTACTTATACGGTAGAAGGTACAGGGAGAACCCTGATTTGTTCCACAGGGTTAACTTGCAAGATGTTCTCAGAGGAGGCCTGGTTCTGTTGAGTGCCAGTTGGGAGAAGGTATGATATAAGGGCTGTGTACAGATGATAATCGGGAACCTGCTCACTTCCAACAGTCTTTAGGTGAAAGTGCCATTGGCAACACCTCATTTCTACCTTTTTTTTGCTGTACTTGACACTTTGCTGACTTGCATTTCCTCTATGGCTTGCTGGCTTTGACTAACTGCATCTTTGTGGTCTTTTTGCATCACCTGATCCTCTGCACTGCTCTTTCTGTAGTATTCTCAGACATTGACCTGGACATGTGTTATGAGGTGCACATACATGTGTTAGTGCCCCTCGAACACTGGTTACACATTTGTGAAATTTTACTTGGAATGAGACATAACCAACCTCCTACACAGCTTACCCATATAACCAGCTGACAAGCCATGCTGAGCACTGTTAGTAGAAGAATGAGCTGGAGATCCTGCTTCTCTTCCATCGTAGTGCTTCCCAGATAGTGCTTGCCATCTTTGTGTCACATTTCTGGTGAGGTCTTTCCTGTTTTGTGATATTCAGAGGCCCAAAGCTTCACAGCAGCCTCTTATTAATCCTTCCAGCGTATCTCTTATTTTTAGACAATTGCATGGAACCAACATATTATGTGTAACACCCTTTTGGAATGTTACTTCCCCGTCACTACAGTCAACATTCAGTTCCTCACCATTTCTCTGTTTTCAGGTTGTTGGCATAAAATGGATGAGGAGGAGGTGCCTCCTGAGCAGAGTGTGTCTGTAGGAGAGTCACAGGACAGGGCTTCTAAGACAGCTCCAGCAACCCAGAAGACCTACCTGTGTAAGTGGTGCTTCTCAGTTTTAAAACATATTTTGCGCCTGACAGAGTTACAAGCAGCATACTGTGAGCAGAAAGCCTTCTTCAGTGACACATCTGTAAAAGACTTCTTTTTAAGTGCAAACTGTCACCAGCAGCAAAGAGATGCCAGTGGAGAGAAGCCCTGGAAAGAAGATATGGACAGGGCCTCGTTTGTGTCCAGGTGCAGCTTCTATTTAACATGGGTGCCTTCAACCAGTAGGGAGGTTGGCAAAGACTTGCCAGCCATCTCAGATATTCTCCAACACCAGGCCACTGTTAGCACTGAGGAGCCACACAATAGCAGTGAGATTTCCCATGAATTTCTCGGTGGAAAAAGTCATCACCAATGTGTTGAATGTGAAAAAGCTGCCAACATCTACCAGAAGGTTGTTCAGCATCTGGGTGTCTGCTCTGGAGAAGTGAATTATGAGTGTAACAAATGTGGACAAGGTTTTAGACAAATGTTTAACCTCATTCAACATAAGGGAGTTCACAATGGACAAAAGCCCTATGAGTGTAGTGATTGTTGGAAGTTCTTCAGAAATAAGTCTAACCTCATTCACCACCAAAGAGTTCATACTGGAGAAAAGCCATATGAGTGTAGTGAATGTGGGAAGATCTTCAGCCAAAGTTCTACGCTCAGTCAACACAAAAGAGTTCACACTGGAGAAAAGTCTTATGAATGTACTTACTGTGGAAAGGCCTTCCGTGAAAAGTCTCACCTCATTAAACACTACAAAGTTCACACTGGGGAAAAGCCCTATGAGTGTACTTACTGTGGAAAGGCCTTTCGTGAAAGGTCTCACCTCATTAAACACTGCAGAGTTCACACTGGAGAAAAGCCCTATGAGTGTAGTGCCTGTGGGAAGTCCTTCCGTCAAAGATCTACCCTCACTAAACACCACAGAGTTCACACTGGAGAAAAGCCCTATGTGTGTAGTGACTGTGGGAAGTCCTTCCGTCAAAGATCTACCCTCACTAAACACCTCAGAGTTCACACTGGAGAAAAGCCCTATGAGTGTAGTGACTGTAGGAAGTCCTTCAATCAAAGGTCTCACCTCATTAAACACTGCCGAGTTCACACTAGAGAAAAGCCCTATGAGTGTAGTGAATGTGGAAAATCTTTTAGCCGCAAACCTAGCATAGTTAGACATTTGAGAGTTCATTCTGGAGAAAGGCCTTAAATGTGCAAGGAGTGTTTTATTATTGTCACTCAGAATAGCAGTACTGAAAGAGACTCATTTTCCAAAATAAACCTCTTTTAATGAAAAATACCCTCTTCTAGGTTATCCATAATTTTTAGGTACAAGTGGGGCTTTAAGGAGGTGCATTGCACTTGTAACCTGCCCAGGCCTACTACCCGATTGATGTCACTGTGAGTACTTTTAGCTGAATTGATTTCACCTCTACCACCTGGCTCACCTGTGCAATGTGCATCAGTTACAACCCCTGTTTGCTCAGGGAAAATGAATTATGTCTTATCACTTCTACTTGATGAAATTATGAAAAATTCTATCTCTTGGCAGGATCTTCATTCCATTCTCTGACTAGGGAATTGACCAGACCGAGTTCATCCAGAATACCCCTCCTCAGCTAAGAAATGCTAGCTCTTTCAAGGACATGTGGTTCTCACATCATGCTGTGATGAATTGTTTCAGGTTCTAATTCACCAACCTGCAAACTGCTTGCTATATACTGGTCTGGTTTATGATCCTTTAGTAAAGGTGTTTTTTCTTTTGTAACTTAAATATTATGGTTCTGCTCACTCCCTGGGATGATTTGAAAGCACAATTGTAAACACAGAGCATGTTGAGGTGGACAGATATTGTGGGGATCCCAAACTTTCTGTGCTTTGGAAGGCACAACATGATGACAGAAAATCACTTGGTCCAATGTTGGCTTATTCTGCATTGCTGCCCATGGCCTTGAAAGAAAGACTGCATGACTTTGTGGTTCTAAGTTGCAGTCTGGTACCTCGATTATTGGGGAGGTCATTGGTCACTCAGAAGAGAAGGCCTTTGCTGTGCTTCTGTGAACAATGTGAATTATATTATCTGTGCACAGTATGTATTACATAAGTCTCAGCAATGTTAAGGGGAAGTCCTCTCCATGTACTGCAAAAGGAGCCACGTAGGAAATTTCTTAGGCTGTGTCATTTGTTATAAGACTCTGAGGTGAAACTAATATTGGTACAGAAACTCTATTTTCATAGTGATGGGAGAGACTGTAATAAATTAGATGGAAAATGCCTCTTCTGAATGCAAATCCACAAGTGATCCAGGGCCTATGGCTTGTGTGATCTTTGTGTAAAGACATTCTCAGGACCTCCATAACTGTTTCCTGTAGCTGAAGTCATTGACAGAAGAAATGATCCAACGGTTTTGTAGATTCCCCTGGCCTCTGTAGGATGTTCACCTCAAGGTTTTCTCAACAGGCAAGAACTCAAAGCCAGAGAAAGGATAGTCCTGTAATCAGTCCCAGGATGTGTCTTAGTGACCACTCAGCATTCCTGTTGGTTCCGAGGGCAATAGTCTTCGCTGCTGTCAATATTTGCTGCCACTGAGGCAAGGCTGTTCCTCCCAGGAAATGAGAACTGACATGCAACTAAGGACACTTTTCTAACTGTACTATTTGGTGAGCCTTGACATAGGGATAAATCTGTGAAACCATCTCATGTAAAATAAATTTATCTGTCACTCTTAAACAGGGTGGGACTTTTTTTTTTTTACAGGAGGTCTATTTTCTTGATTTTTTTAAAAATATATTGTTATTGATTTCAGAGAGGGAGAAGGAGAGAGGGATAGAAACATCAATGTTGAGAGAGCTCGCAACCTGGGCATGTGCCATGACCAGGAATCGAACCATGACCTCATAGTTCATAGGTTGACACTCTTTATTCATATAAAGAAAATGCTTATGAAACCCCATGAATCCTATTCTAGCCTTCCATCATTACCTACCATCATGGTGGTTCTTGTTTCTATCTATCCCCAGTTACATTAGTGGGTTATTTAACTTAAAATCCCAGATATGTCTGGTCATGCCCTGATAGCTCAGGTGGTCAGAGCATCATCTCAATAATGCCAAGATTGCAGGTCCCGTCTCTGCTCGGGGCACATGCAAAAATCAACCAAGTAATATATAAAATTATGTTAACAACAAATTGATCTTTCACTCTCCCCATTTTTCTTTCTCTAAAATCAATATCTTTGTTTTATTCACCCAGTCAGTCCACACACTTGTGAACACCAGTGTAGCCCAGGGACCACATGGTGACTAGTAGCCAGGGTTCTCATGAGGGTAGAGCACGAAATAACCAAGAGAACAGGAGGTTAGGTGCCTCTGCTGTCGATGTAGCAGGTGGGGGACCAAGGCCGAGCTGCACAAACACCCATAGGGGATGATGGCATCATTGTGCTTCCTGGAACTAACACCAAAGCAGCCAGGAGAAGCTCTGGGCTTGGACAAGCCCCTTGTGGTCTCTGCACCTTCCATGCAGGTGATTGAGGAGCCCAGATTCCTCTCCGGTGTCAGGGCTGGGAGCAACAGTGGCCGCTGGGCAGGTGGGAGTGGGCAGGAAAAAGCCCAGAGCAATTTCCAGGGGGAGTTGGTGCTGGGGCCATGTATGTGGCTCTGAGGCCCTCTCTAGTCCAAGTCCAGGCTGGTGGCCACTCTTACTTTTGGGAAAATGGAACCAGCTGTGCTGTAGGAGTTCCTGGGGGTTGTGACCTGGGAATCAATATGTGCTTCACAAAAACTTGTGACCCAGGCAGTCACAACCTAGTCCACTGTAGTGAGTGGTCTGACCATTGACTTCCCCCGGGAGGGGAGGAGCAGGTCTGCATAGGCTGAGTATCTGCCCAGCAGGAGGGGTTGCTGGCTACTGAGCCACCTGGTCCTCTGGTGGGTTTGAAGTGTCTTGAAGTTTAGCAACTAAAGGAAGTTATAGATATTTATCAATCTAATAAGAGAAAATGGCTCTGAATTTTTCTTAATAGTAAACGTCCACCCACTGTGGCTGAATGGTAGGAGTGTCAGCCCACACACCTGAAAAGTGTCGAATTAGATGTCAGGTCAAGGGCATGTAACCGGGTTGCAGTTTCGATCCTCAGCTCCCATTGGGGCTCGTGGGAGGCATCCAGTTGAGGTGTCTCTCTCACATTGATCTCTCTCTCTCCACTCTTCCACTCTCTCTAAAAATCATGGAAAAATATCCTCAGGTGAGAATTAACAAGAAAAAGAAGAAGCAGAAGCCACCTTGCTGCCCTGAAGTGGGGCCTCTGCCTGCTCGGCCCACCTCTCCTCACTCATTCCTGCCATGGCCTGGGGTGTTCCCACTGCTGTGGGGCACACTATGTCCTTCTCCCAGGGCTGGCCAGGGCTCTTCTGTCTCCTCCACCCAGATGTCTCCCCAGCCTGCTTTTCTCCATCCCTCAGGCACCTGGCCCACTGCAACTGAACCTCCTTCTGTATCTCGGAGTAGCCCCCTGAGCTTTGGGCCCTCAAATCAGTTCACCTTTGGAAAGTCCTGCTTCCACCCAGCCCACAGGCATCCCTGAGCCCCACTGGCATTGTTTGAGTCTCTGTTTTTTGCATTTGGGGGGTAATTTTCACTTTGATTTGATTAAAAATTAATCCACCCCTCCCCCAGCTCAGGAGGGACCACTGATTCTCCAGGAAGTCTGCTGTGTTTTTTTCAATGCTGAGAACATCCTGCAATACAAGCGATTCTGAAAAGCGAGGCTTGGGCTCAACATGATGCCACATTGGGTGGATGCATTATAGGTGGTATTCTCCCTCCCCAAGTTGGGCCTGTAGCAAGCAGACCCCTGCTCCTGTAGTGGGGTGATGGACCCTGGACTGGGCCAATCTAAGTGGGAGATATGAGTGTAATTCATACTATTCTTTGAACCTTCTTGTATGCTTCAAATTTCCACATAGAAAGTTACAGTTTAATTTACATGTTCCCTATCAATAACACATATGTCCTCATAATTACCATAAATTGGAAATAGCATAATAGAGCAATAAAATTATGTGCAATCATATATACCTGTAGACGTTAAAAATAAATTTTAAGAATTCAAGATATTAAAGCATTATAAATAAATAATCAAATATCTGACATGTTTCATAGTTGGCTTACCTAATTTTTGGCTATGTAAACAAAAACAAGGAAACTAATATTAAATAATCCTTACTCAAATATCAATAGTCTGTGTTTAACCAGAAAAAATATCATGTCTTCAGAGTTAAGTTTTTATTTTTATTTTTTGGTTAATCCTCATGGAAGGATAATTTTTCCATTGATTTTTCAGAGAAAATGGAATGGAGGGGGAGAGACAAAAACATCGATGTGAGAGAGACACATTGATTAGTTGCCTCCCACATGCACCCCAACTGAAGCCAGGGATAGAGCTTGAAACCCAGGTACGTGCTGTTGACTGGAATTGAACCTGAGACCCTTCAGTCAGTGGGTGAATGCTCTAACCACTGAGCAACAAACTAGGGACAGGGTTAAATGTTTTGGCCATCAGACTCCACCTTCAAAACAGAGCTTACACACTTTCGAGTATGGAAAATGCCTGAGTCCTTCACTTATCCGTAAGGGGCAGGATTAAAGGTAGCTCTCCAAAGTCTCAGACTTTTCAAGCTGTACTTGGTTACTCTCCTCCCAAATTTTCCCCATTCCCACATAGAAGACAGTTAAGTTCAGATCCTCCCATGAGGAGTTAGTAAAACTCACTTTTGTTTTACTTCTACTTGAAATAATGTGATAGTTATAATAAACCTTAAGTTTATGGTATCCCTAACCACAATGTAAGACTTCTGTTTCACATGACAACTCACTAAACTCACTAAAATTTCATTGTTTTTGTTTTATTCCTGTTCTTTCTAACAATCCTGACTAACCAGACACTGAGAAGTTTGTTCAAATACTATATTTAAAAAGCTGCTTTTCGATTACTCACAGTCCACTTCTTGGTGGTAAAAGAGGAATGTGTACTCTTGGTGTAACCGAGGCTAAGCTTTAAGAAGTTTTCTTTGCCAAAAGATGTCCCAACTTGTACATATGATTCCATGTTATCTTCCAAGTCCAACAATATTAATAGTTGCAGATAAGGCTCAGTATGTTATTCCTAGAATTAGTACAATGGGGAAATGATCACTTTTAGGAGTCAGGTACATTTTTTTTCCAAGAATGGCAAACTGTGAAGAGCTTCTGGAAGGTGGCTCAGTAGAGCCCCTGTCAAAAATAGCCTTGAAACATAATTTATTGGAGATTTATCACTAAAGTACAACCCTTTGGGACATATTACACAAATATCCAGGATGCTACTTTAGCTCTTTGGTCTTGGGACAGTTCCCTGTTGCATACCACATTAGTTCTTCTAATATATCTATTGTATAGTCTATAAAAGCTATTGGCTGTTATGCAGTTTTATTTTAGGATAAGCTAGTCATAATTTAGTGATTGTCTGATAACTAATCATAATCCAAAGATTACCATCAATTATATTTACTTTTTCGGTGGTAACTCTGCAGATCTGAACTGCATTTCCACCATTTACATTTCTTTAGGCAACAAATAAAAATAAATACTTCCATAACTGTATTGCTTTCCTTTTTATGATGTTATATTTCTGATACAGAAAACATTTAACAAACATATACTAACCATGTAGAATAAACAGTGATCATATCTTACCATCTTTCTTCATATTTTCACTTTTTAAGAAATAAAGAAATGCCCTGACAAGAAGTTTGCTTGTTGGATCCCCAGTTGGGGCCCATAAAGGAGGCAGCCAATAGATGTTTCTCACATAGATGTCTCTCTCTCTCTCTCTCTCTCTCTCTCTCTCTCTCTCTCTCTCTCTCTCTCATCAATAAACATATCTTTGGGTGAGGATTTTTTTTAAAAAAAGAATAAGAGAACAGAATGAGTCCTAGCCTGTTCTGAGCCTGCTTTCAGTCTGGGGATCCTTGGAGGTATTGTTTTCCAACTTTGACTTTTGGAGTTCCAGGGAGATAAGGCTTCAACTGAGATAACCAGAATCAGGTCACCTAGGTGAGGAGTCCCAGACTCTGCCAGTCATCAAGGAGCCTGAAGAAAGTGAAGCTTAGTGGCAGAGTTGTAACGTCAGATCAACAGAGGAAAGAGTTCCAGGTGCTGCCAAGCGTTGAGGTCTGTGGGTCCCAATTGGCCAGCTGTCCCCAACACAAGTCATGCCTCACGGTCAGAAGAGTGACAGCTGCAACCTTAAGGAAGACCTTCAGGCCCCAAGAGAGGCACAGGGCCTGGTAGGTTTACAGGTTCCTATAGTTGAAGAGGAAGAAGCCACCAGCACCACCACCACCTCCTTCTCCTCTCTCTCTCCTTTGATCCCTGGCTCTCCAGAGGATTTGCCTGCCCCTGGTATTCTTAGTCTTTTTCAGAGTTTCCAGAGAGCCTGTTCCTCCTCCACTGCCCACACAGTCACTCTATCAAGCCTCCAGGAAGAGGATCCAAGTACCTTGCAGACTCCACCAAATCCTGAGTCCTTGTTCACTGAAGTGCTACAAAATAAGGTGTACGACTTGGTGCAGTACCTGAGTATCAAGTATGCCACAAAGGAGCCCACCACAAAGGCAGAAATGCTAGAGAGTGTCATCAGAGAGCACAAGGATCACTTCCCTGTGATCTTCAAGAAAGCCTGTGAGTGCCTAGAGGTTATCTTTGGCATTGAAGTGAAGGAAGTGGACCCCACCAGCCATTCCTATGTGCTTGTCAAATCACTAGACCTCACCTACGATGGGATGCTGAGTGATGACCAGGTCATGCCCAAGACCGGCATCCTGATACTTATCTTGGGCATAATCTTCATGGAGGGCAACCGAGCCTCTGAGGAAAGAATCTTGGAAATTATGAATATGGTTGGAGTGCGTGATGGGAAGAATAATTTTATCTATGGGGATCCCAGGAAGCTCATCACCAAAGATCTAGTGCAGGAAAAGTACCTGGAGTACCAGCAGGTTCCCAACAGTGATCCTCCACGCTACGAGGTCCTGTGGGGTCCCAGGGCCCATGCTGAAACCACCAAGATGAAAGTCCTGAAGTTTCTAGCCAGGATCAATGGGACTGACCCCACTTCCTTCACAAACTTGTATGAGGAAGCTTTGAGAGATGAGAGAGAGAAAGCCCAGGCTGAAGTTTCCTCGGATGATACTATTGCCACAACCGATGAAAGTTCAGGTGTCCTGTCCAGCAGCTTCTCCTGCCCTGAGTGAAGTCTGAAGCTTACCATTCTTCACTCTCCATTTGAATGCAGCGGCCAAGGTTCTAAGTAGTGGAGGACCAGGGTGGATATGGAGGGAACACCTTAGTGTTCCTGTTCAATATAGGTGATTTGGAGATTTTTATCTTTTTTTTTGTTTAAAATGTTGTTCCTTGTAATAAAAAGTTTAACTAGAGAAAAAAAAAGGTAAAAAAAAAACACAGCAGTAATAAAGAAATAATATAATATAATAATAGTCTATATCATTCCTCAGTTTCATTTCTCTTATTACTTTTCCATTATGAATTTTCTAATCATTCTCCCAATTTAGTTTTTAATCATTTATTATATATGCATATATCAATCAACCATATGTAGTATTATTTCATCTTTCTATATTTATATACATGTATCATATTTTATGTAATTTTTGGTTCATTTTATCTAGTTTATTGATTTTAACTGCAGTGTAATATTAATTCATATAAGTATTTCAGAATTATGATTGTATTCCTTTATTCATGAAAATGTACCATATTTTGTTGATTTTAAGATGTCTAATATATCACATTTAAGATCTCTGAAATCCAGATAGCGTGCTAATAATGATGAGCATGATCTTCGGCTTCTCTAGGGAGGACAAAGGTCAGTAAACTGTTTTTAACCCTCACCCTAGGATACTTTTTCATTGATTTTTAGAGAGAGTGGAAGAGAGAGGGAAAGACAGAGAGAAATATCGATGTGAGAGAAACACATCATTGGTTGCCTCCTGCACATGCCCTGACCAGGGCCCCGGCCGGGGAGGAGCCTGCAACCAAGGTAAGTGCCCTTGACTGGAATGGAACACAGGACCCTTTGGTCCGCAGGCTGATGCTCTATCCACTGAGCCAAACCAGCTAGGGTAAACTTCTTATATAAAGGGTTTTATTGTAAATAGTTTTGGCTCTATAAACAATATCATCACAGTCATAACTACTCAACTCTGCCATTGTAGCATGAAAGTAGCTAAAAACAACATATAAATGAAGGTACATGTCTGTGTTCTACTCAAACTTTAATTATGGATGCTGAAATTTTAATTTCATATTATATGTATTGCAAAATATCTTTTGATTATTTTCTAATTTTAAAAAATTAATAAAATTATTCTTATCTCATGGGCCAGATAAAGGGCCAGATTTCACCCACCCACCATAATTTGCTGACACCTGGTATATAGATAATAAAATGACATGCCCTCCTTTATAACATCTGTCAGTTCCCCTAGATTTTATCTCCCCTTTTCCTCCTTCCATGTAAATCTATCATATACTGATTCCCCAGGATTTCCCTCCTTCTCTTCTATTAATGTTCTCATTCCCCTGTATGACACCTAATTCCTCCCCAGTATTTCCCCACAGTCCTTCCCTTCTCCTGTCTTGTGACACCTGGTGGCTCTCCAATATTGTCATAAACTGTCTAAGAGCAAGAAGCTCAGCAATATACATTCCTGCCAGCTTCACTGTCCTAGTGTGGGTGCTTCTGGTCTCTGCTGCCTGCTTAGTCGGGACTGAAAATTGGACCTGGAACAAAGGATCTCATTTGAGTGAGGTCCCTGCATCCAGACAAAGACTCATCCTTCAAGTGAATACGAGGACAGTGACAGAGTCATCCCTATAATGTGAAAAAAATGCCATCTAGGTTCAGAATTTTAATACTTCAGAAAGCCTAATATGTCAGTTTTATGTATAATTAGTGAACATGCTTCTCCTATTATCCGCATCTCTGGCTGTAAGATTTATGAGTAGAAAAACTAGAAAAACCTTAATATGTCAACACATATGGTCAATGGACTCATGGTGATAAAATCAGCCCTTGCCCATTGTTACTGATAAGGAGATATGGTCAGAATTAGAACTTGGATTCATTATTTATTCATGCAAGTAATCTGCAGAAGGCATGTGTTGGTATGACTAAATATCTAGAAACTATAACAGGATAAATTAATAACATATTTTACATGGAAATAATATACCTCTTAATGTAAAATATTTAATAAAATAAAGTCAAAAGTCAAAAGCTCTGATGTTCCATGATGATGGGCAAACCAGTGATGTAATGAAAAATTCTGGCTCTTGTTACTGAGTTGGCCCAAATGCAGAAGTGTCCTGTCTTGACGTTTTCCTGCAGGGGGTGGACTGTTAATAAACAAATGGTGGAAAGAATGAAATAACCAACACTAATGAGGGAAGAAGGAGGGCCTGGTAGAAAGGAGCACAGGGAAGAGGAACGCCCGCCCCTCCCCACCCCCACACACACAAACGGTAATGCGCAAAGTCCCCACCAGGTGGCGCTGCAGCGGCAAATGCACCTCCAGCAGGCCTCCCCAATCACGCCAGATGCACCCCTGCTGCGGAGGGGACAAGCCTGGGGAAGCGGGCGAGGCCTGTGACCCACCGGGCTTCCTGGTTCCCGCAGCTGAGCCCGCCCCCATCAGCCAGTGTCGCGGGCAGCGGAGCCCTTGGGTGGGTCAAGGCTCGCTCCTGTGGAAGCCGCCACTGCCACCAGACCTTCTGCCCTGTCCCCTCCACCACCATGCTGGCGCTCATCTCTGGCCTGTGGGCTGGTTCCGCTCCCTCTTCTGGGAGGAGGAGATGGAGCTGATGTCCTGGGGCTGCAGCTCTGGGACAAGCCCACCTTCCTCACTGTCCTCACGGTGAGTGCCCTCCTGCTCACCCGCCTGGGCGGCCTCCCTCCATGCCACCCGGGAGGGGGAGGGGAGGGGGGGTTGAGCCTGCCAGTCCCTAGCAGGGGCCAGACTAGGACAGTTACTAAAAAAAAAATGTTTAATAGAATCTACCAAAATGTTAAAGGGTAAGTTTCATAGACATTTGTGTATTTTTGAGATGAGGAGTAGTATAAAAGTTTGTTTACATTTTTGTGAAGTGTTGAAACCACAAAGGTTAATCCAAGGAAAAGTTTATTACTGCTGAGAATTAGGGAAAGGAGACATTTGGGAAGATTGTAGAAATCTGAGCCTAGAATTATTGTTTTAAGAGTTTGTAGAAACCTTAATTGATTTTACCCTCATTTCATAGAGGCAGCTAGGAGAGCCAGAAAGGTTACGCAAAATTCCTAATTAATAGCAGAGATAAAATGAGAATCCAGGCCCAGTGCACTTCCTACCTTTCCTGTCAGCCTCTGTAGATCCAGTTGGGGTTAGAACCATAGAGCTGTGACTTAGGACATCTTAATCCTTTAAAAATGTTTTTTATGTGCAAATATGCTCCTCTTATGAGTCTAGACAGCATGATTTTGTGATAACAATGGCAAAAACAGTTTTTAAAGAAAATTTGCTGTGGCTCATGTCTAAAGGTTACCAAATCTGAACCTTTATTGTAGACATCAGCCTTCCAGTGAGGAATTCTCCCAATACAGCCTGAGCTGTGGACCTGAGGCATCCTGCCCAGGAGCCTCTCTTCAGGGTTTCTTACCCTCCCCATCCCCTGCCCTGCCCCCAGCCCCTGTCCCGCCCCCAGCCCCTGTCCTGCCCCATCCCCTGCCCTGTCCCCAGCCCCTGTCCCGCCCCCAGCCCCTGCCCCATTACTTTTCCAAGCAGACCCAGCCTCTCCAAAGCCCAGGGATCCCACCAGGAAGCTGTTTGAGTGCAATAATGCGTTTTAAAGCACCGACCCAGGACATTTCACAACTCAAAGCACTTTTTAAGTTTCTCAAAGATAAGTGGATGGTCACTGGACATGGATACAAAGTGCATTTTACACCTATAAAAACAGTTACTTAAATGGTATTTTCAGAAGATTTTTTTCTCATTATCAACATAATACAGGGTCATTAGTAGAAATTTTAAAAGAATAGTATACAGTAAAAGAAACCACTTCTCTCCACCATCCAAGGTTAACCACTGTCAGCATTTCTAAGTATTTCCTTTTGTCTTTTGTGAATGGAGATGTACAAATGCCTTTTTAAGAAGTTTTCAGGTGATACCATTTATTTTGTGTGTATCCTGACTTGTTTCCTTTTAGTTATGGTGAATGCGTTCTTCTACATCTAACACACTTCTTTTCCATTTCTTAAGGCACTCTTTATTTTTTCCAGTTTTGTTGAAAGTAATTGACATACTCCACTGTATAATATTAAGGCAGACAGATGATGGTTTGATTTATGTACATTGTGAAATGATTAGCACATTGGGTTCAACTAACATCCAATATGTGACAAACAAAATTGAAATTTTAATGGAGTAATTTGAGTTAAATTTCTCTTCAAAGTCAAAACCGCAATTCTTACATTCTATCGTGCTATATTTTTAAGGTTACACTGTTTCTTAAATTAGATATTGGATCTTATGTTTGGATCCGATTTCATAGTTTGCCCAGTTTTATATACTAGAATAACTTTCTTATTTTATTTCCTAAAAGAATTTTTTTAAATTAGAAAGTCTACAATGCTTTAGTGTTCATTTAAAAATTAACTTTAAGAATTCTGTATGGGAGAACCAAGATGGCAGCATAGGTTAACGCCGGAGTTTGCTGCCTCGAACAACCACTTCAAAAATACAACTAAAAGACGGAACAGACATCATCCAGAACCACAGGAAGGCTGGCTGAGTGGAAGTTCTACAACTAGGAGGAAAGAGGAAACCATACGAGACTCAGAGGAGGCGCAGTGCTGAAGTGAAATACTAAGGTGTGGAGTGCATGTGGAGCGGGCTGGTGGCTGAGGGCGCAGTTGTTGTTTTCAATCAGGAGGGAGTTTCAGACTCTGAGCTCCAGATCCGGGCGAGTCTCTAGGGACCCAGACTCAAACGGGAGAAGCGGGAAGGCAGCTTTCTCTCCGAGGTTTGCAGCGGTTGCAGAGCCGCTGGGGACAGAACTGAGAGCAGCCATAACTGCTCGCTCCTCCTGCCCTGTAGATCCCCTGGGACCCGCCCTCCCCAAGCCCTGCACAGAGGCATTTGCCAGAGAGCCTCAGGCAAAGGCTAGATTAGCACCGCCCTAGAAATTTAGCACAGTAGCGCTCCCACGGCAGACACAGCTGACTCTCATAGCCAGTTAGCCTGGAGGTCAATTCACCCCCGTATTGCCGAAAACAATCAAGGCTTAACTACAACAAGACTGCGCACAAAGACCACAAGGGGGTGCACCAAGAAAGCATAAAAAATGCAAAGACAAAAAAACATGACAGAAATGGAGGATATAGAGCTAAAAAATGCACTTTTGAGGGCTTTCAATAATGTGCTAGAAACTGCCGATAAATGTAGTGAGATCCTCAAGAAATCTAATGATACCCTCGATGTTGTGATAAAGAACCAACTAGAAATTAAGCATACACTGACTGAAATAAAGAATATTATACAGACACCCAACAGCAGACCAGAGGAGCGCAAGAATCAAGTCAAAGGTTTGAAATGCGAAGAAGCAAAAAACACCCAACTGGAAAAGCAAAATGAAAAAAGAATCCGAAAATACGAAGATAGTGTAAGGAGCCTCTGGGACAGCTTCAAGCGCACCAATATCAGAATTATAGGGGTGCCAGAAGATGAGAGACAGCAAGATATTGAAAACCTATTTGAAGAAATAATGACAGAAAACTTCCCCCACCTGGTGAAAGAAATAGACTTACAGGTCCAGGAAGCGCAGAGAACCCCAAACAAAAGGAATCCAAAAAGGACCACACCAAGACACATCATAATTAAAATGCCAAGAGCAAAAGACAAAGAGAGAATCCTAAAAGCAGCAAGAGAAAGAAAATCAGTTACCTACAAGGGAGTACCCATATGAATGTCAGCTGATTTCTCAACAGAAACTTTGCAGGCCAGAAGGGAGTGGCAAGAAATATTCAAAGTGATGGATACCAAGAACCTACAACCAAGACTACTTTATCCAGCAAAGCTATCATCAGAATTAAAGGTCAGATAAAGAGCTTCACAGATAAGGAAAAGCTAAAGGAGTTCATCACCACTAAACCAGTATTATATGAAATGCTGAAAGGTATCCTTTAAGAAGAGGAAGAAGAAGAAAAAGGTAAAGATACAAATTATGAACAACAAATATGCATCTATCAACAAATAAATCTAAGAATCAAGTGAATAAATAATATGATGTACAGAATGAACTGGTGATTATAATAGAACCAGGGACATAGAAAGGGAATGGACTGACTATTCTTGGGGGGGAAAGGGGAGTGGGAGATGCGGGAAGAGACTGGACAAAAATCGTGCACCTATGTATGAGGACAGTGGGTGGGGAGTGAGGGCGGAGGGTGGGGCGGGAACTGAGAGGAGGGGAGTTATGGGGGGGGAAAAGGAACAAATGTAATAAACTGAATAATAAAAATTTAATTTAAAAAAAAGACTCCAAATAAATGTGGCTTATTGATTAAGGCACCTTCTGATTTACAATATAACAGTCCAGTCCACCCCCATCACCATATATTTGACCCCTTTACCCTTTTCATCCTCCCCCACCCTGGATCAGTTTTCTATTGCTGTGTAACAGATTACCTGAATTCTCAGGGGTGAAGAGTCCAAGCACAAGAGTCCTCCATTAGGGTCTCACAAGGCTACTGGGAAGAATCCAGGCTGGACTTTCACCTGGAGGCTGGGCTGGGGGAGAATCTGCTTACTCACGTTGTGGGCAGTGGGTGGCAGGACAGAGGCTCCAGCTTTTGGCTGGGGCTGCGGCGTTCCCTACGCCGACATCAGTGCTTTGCTATTGGAGCTTCTCCAGCAGGCCTGCTTACTTCCTCCAGCCCCAGGAGAGTCTGCAGTCTGGTAAGGAGTTTTAGTGACCACAGGACATCCCAGCAAGTCACAGATCTGTCCCAACCTCCCGGTGCAGGCGCTGCAGGTCCGCCACCGCGCAGCAGGCGGCGCCGGGCTCGCCTCCTCCGCCTCCAGGGCCGCGCGCCGTGGGCCCGGTCCCGCGCCGTAGGCCCTTCCGCGCGCCGGCGGCCGCGATGGCGGACGTGTCCGAGAGGAAGCTGCAGCTGTCCGTGCTGTTGGCCTTCGCCTCCGGGGTGCTCGTGGGCTGGCAGGCGAACCGGCTGCGGAGGCGCTACCTGGACTGGAGGAAGCGGAGGCTGCAGGACAAGCTGGCGGTGATGCAGAAGAAACTGGACCTGGCCTGAGCCCCGCGGGCCCCGCCGCTCCCGCGCGCCCCCCTCGCCGCGCGCCCACCTCGCCTTGCCCGCGCGGGGCCTCCAGCCTGAGCCGGCCTCCTCCGCAGTGCCCAGTGCCGGTGAGCAGTGCCTACAGCGGCTCCAAGTCTACGGGAGACTTGGAAGTGGGGCGGGGGTCTGGGGCAGCCCACAGGAGGTGGCTTGCTCCCACGGACACCAGAAAGAGGAGGGAGCTTTGCTTTCCCCAGGAACTTGCACTGGTGTCTTAGCTCAGTTCATTGCTTGTGTTTGCTGGGAATTAATTACCACGTGCAATGTCGCTGCATTCAACTTAAAGTGTAAATACTGGGGAAAGCGAAAGGAAAAAAGAAAGAGTGGACCGAGGTGTCCCTGACACCCGTTCCCCTCTCATCAGTCTTTTCAGCAATGTCCTTGTTAGCACGTAGTCCTTGCATCCGTGTTTTGCACTCTCCAGTCTGAGTCCCTGGGTGATCCGCAGTCTGGCAGAATGGAAAGGAGAAGGGCCTGGAAGTCAGGAGCCTTGAATCTAGTCCTGGCTTTTCATCGGGGCTGTGCAGGCGCTCAGGGTGTCCGTTTTCTTACCTGTAACACCAGATCTTGTAGTTCATGTTTTAGCTCTACAATAGGATAAGTTGAAGTTAATGATTATTTCTCTCTCTTTTTTCTCTTTCTGTTCCCAACAGCTTGTCGAAGATGGATAGAAATCATCTGTCCTTACACTTTATGAGTCAATTTTATTTTTAAAATAAAATGTTAAACATCTTTGAAACTTTCATTAAAAGGACAAGGGGTATCTTGTCTGCCATGCAGTTCACTGCATCAAGAGATCTGCATGCCCAAAACTGATCTATTTGCATTTTTAAGCAGATACCTTGTTTCTTAAGGAATCTATGCTAGTTCCTGGTACAACTGCAAAGCAGAGTTGGCCTGGGCATGGTTATGAGTCCTTTTGGTCAGTTTTTTGTTTGTTTGTTTTACTGAACCTGATGAGAAAAGCAAGAGGCTATGTAGAAATAACTGGGGTAAGAGTGCTGTCTATAAGACATTTGCACTTTTCAGGAGGATGAAATGTGCATGTGAAGGAGAAACCCTCTTGAATAGAGCTTAGTGATAAATCCAAACTATATGTAAAAATCAAGAGTGAGGGACCAAGTCCCTGGTTATAGTGGATTTGCAAGAGGTGTTTTCTAGAACACTGCCCTTGCTTGTTCCTCTAAAGATTAATTTTTTGTCTTAGCCAATTTAATGGCAGCTCCAGGTTAACACCAGGAAATTCAGAAAAGTTGTTTCCACAGAAAGCTTTATTTTATCCATTTCACTGGAGCCATTATGCTTTGTTAGTTCCAACCTTATGTTCATTCTGTGAATGCAGCACTCAGGGACTGGCATGCAGGTGCTGAGAGCTCTGTCCCATCTGGGCTGCAGGTTGCTGAAGTATCCTCGTCGCCATTGCTCATTCCAAGTCACCGAGAGGCTCCAGAGCTCAGGCTCTTTGAGACAAGGCAGGTTTCTTAAGGCACATGGTGCTCCCTGGCGTTTCCCATTACAGTGTACTTACATGGAGCCCCCTGACACACTCATCTCCCTCTCCTGTCTCACCTCAGGGCATGTACTGCTCATCCCCCAAGTCCTATCCAGGTGCTTATGTGGCTTCAGCCACCCCATTCCACTCCTAATCGTTCTCTCGTTTTCTGCCTCCTGCCTCTTCACACTGGCCCTGTGTCCCCAGCTCTGTGGTGGGCAATTCCCTTTGACATTGGTTCTGTCACCATTTCTCCTCTAGCCATCTACCCCTTGCCCTACATAAATGGGTGTTGGGTTTTCCCTAAAAACATTGTCTCACGTGGAGATGTGACTTTTTAAATGGTAGCAAAATTGGCAATAGAAAGGTTGGGAGATAGGTTATGATGCCAGTCATATACCTTGGAAATAAACTGTTCACTCATGGAAATACATGTTTCAGCAACCGCCCCACCACTCCCCCCCTAGTAATTTCGATGATGATGCTGTTCCAGGACTCACAGGAATAAATGCTTGTAATTCTGAATATGGAACAAAAATATGTAAAATTGAAGTCATATTTCTACCTGAGGTGAACAAGTGTAATATACTTTTTTCATCCTTCACTGCTCATATTTACACATATATGTAGGGGGGGGGGTATTTTTTCCTTCAACAGAGTTAAACTGTATTCATTTCCATTTAAAATAAGCACATCCCTTGCCCAGCCAGCATGGCTCAGTGGTTGAGCATCGACCTATGAACCTGGAGGTCATGGTTCGATTCCCGGTCAGGGCACATGCCCGGGCTGCCAGCTCGATCCCCAGTGTGGGGCATGCAGGAGGCAGCTGATCAATGATTCTCTCTCCCTCTCTCTCTGAAATCAATAT